AATTGATGGCCAGTCCTTGAATAAAGAGAAACTTTAGAATCACTATCAAAGTTCAATAAAATTACAACAACAGTGTTCAAACGATTAAATTCCTATACAAGATTTAATGGTTTATAATACTCAATGATATACCAATACCAATCAAGAACCATTTAATTGGTAATTTAAGCATTTTATAATGAGGGTGGGAATAGTAAAAATATAAAAAATTCCATATTTTTAATTTTTTTAACTGTTACTTCATTTTAAAATATTGCTGTCAATGGGAGGTTCAAGACGTAAACTATTTCACTATTATAACTATATAATTAAAAATTATTTTAAATTATAGTATAACATATATATATATTATAATAGATTATATAAAGTTTTGTCCATTTATTTTTAGCAATCAGTCTATTGTGCATTTCAGAGAAAATTATCGGAGATATGAAGAAGATAAAACATTTTAGAAGTTTCAAAAAATCGTTTTTATTATTTCAGTACTATAAAATTGGACTGTTATAGATATAGATATTCATTTTTTTATGAACTTTTATCTTCAATACCGTAAGGAAAAGAATAAAATTTGTTTTTACCTACCAAATAAAAAATTGTTTTTTTTTTGGATAATTAAAAAAATTCCGTTATAAAGTCTAAATAACCTATTTAGATTAGAACTTAATAATAATAATTATTACATAATAATAAAACATGGATATCAAACAAAAATATAAAACTATCACTAAAACTATGACTTAAATTAATAGCGTACAAATAAGTTCTGTCATGTGATAATAATGCAGTAGTAATCAATTAAAATAGATCAATCAATAAAAAATTAGCTGATAAATTTGAAACATTTTAAAATTTTCTTAATGTTGAAGCATGCGTTATATTTTTTCTACAATTATAATTCCAAAGATTTTTTAATTATAGTTAAAATATCAAAAAGTATTACTTCAATATTAAATTATTGTAATTATTTACTAATATTAAAGATATACATTAGTATATTTATCATAATATTTTTGTTATGCTTTCATATTAAAGAAAAGTTAAGTAAAAATTGGAATTTTGTTCTAATTATACAAATTTATTTATGTTAAAAAAAAAAAATAAAAATTTATTTATTTAATATATCACATTGAAACTGAGTACACAATAAAAAAACTTATTTCAAAAGCAATAATTTTAACTACATGAATTTTTCATTTGTTGATGTAATGTCCAATAAATAAACAATTTATTATTGTTAGATCATAATAAAACAGCCAAGAGTAATGGATATGACAGTTTTATATATAAATCTTATGCACATTAATTCACTTGAAATGGTTATTTGTATTATTATTAGTATTTAAATACAGCGTTAACATAAAAAGCTGCACTAATACACCATCAGTTAAGTTGCCGTGATTACTTACTAATTTTATTTTATCGTTCTCTACATTAGCAAACCGTTAACGTTTAATGCACACAAACTATGTATATCACACTAATAAAACCTCAAGAGCCTAATAAAGTAAGCCTTGAAGCCAGCTTTATCTACGTTGTTTTGGGGTTTTCATAATGCTCTCTATTTAGTAAGGTCAAAATGTGAGGTTATGCATGGTTAAATTACAACAACGACTGTACTATATGTTTTCAATCCATTAAATACCGTTATATTATTTAAATACTCACCAACAAAATAAAATAAAACATTATAACATTCATCAACTTATTCGTCACATAACTAATAAAAAACAAATAAATAATTTAAACAAACTTCAGGAAATTGTAAGTAAATTTTTTTTAATATTGTACATAATTCCGAATCTGAACTTTAATTTCTTAAATTATGTTTGATTTTGAGAAATTTTCTTATTTCTAAATATAATTAATAATAAAAAATGTTTTTTGACTTTATAGAATAAAAATGGTTTCTTTAATGTAAATAAAAAAACCAAGACTATTGTATCAAGATTAATCTGTATAACTTTGTTGAGATCTTCAATTTTATTTTTTTATTAATACAATTTTAAAATTCATAATCTACGTTAAAATTGTATTTTAACTCTGATGTGATGCTGAGAAGGTATTAATTTTACTATAATATGTTCTTTTTGTTGTGACTATGACCCTTTCTTTCAACTAGCAATGGACAAATTTTTGACAACAACGCGTCACAAATCGTATATGATTAAAAACAATCAAACTAGTTTTATATATATTTCCAACGTTTTTGTCACTTCAAATCAACAAAAACGATTTTAATATTTGAAACAGCTTAAATTGTTCTATTTATCGTTTTAAAATAGCAGAGTCGGATGTCGGGATGGTAACGTCTATCTATTGTTTTGATGCACTCTGTTTAAAACTCATCATGCACATTGATTTCATGCAACTTTTTCTTAATTTTTAAAGGGCACCAATTTCCAATTTTTTTTTTTTGCTATTATCTCTTATTTAACGAACGATAAAATAAAAAACAACGTCCTGACGACTTATCTGCTATATACAAAAAGCTGCCGTATTTAAAAACATGTTATTTTGAGTTACAAATTTCGATTTTACATTTACGACTTGAAAATGCTATAACTTTTTTAAAAATGTATAGATCAATACAATTTTTTTAACTAAATACTTCATATATACCCCTTTCATCCAAGATTTATTTTTAAAATCAAACCATTTTTCCTTGTACAGAGGGTTAAAAACTTGAAATAACATAACCTTGAAAATGTTCTAGAAATACCATTTCCTTTAAACATATGTTAAATTGAACATTATGTTACGTACTATAAATAAAAAAAAAATTGTCCCGATGACCAAATAGGTCAAGCAGGTGTTTCATTTTTATTTTACCAATTCTAATAATTTTTCGAAAAATATGTGGATAAATACATTTTTCTGTGAGTACTTAAAGCATACACTTTTCATACTTATCCGACATACTTTTTTTTAATTAAAATATTGTAATAACAGAGGTAACAGTGATAACTGAAATTATAATTAACTAATGAGGGCCAGAATGATCAAACTTTTTTTTCTTTTTATTAATCCATACTTACAATTTTGCTATACGTTTACCATGTAGTTAACAAAATATGCAACTACATTATAATATTCAATGATTTGAACTAAATTATTAATATGTAAATAGTAAGCCATAAATTTTTAAAATCAGGATTTAATTGAGGAAATACGATTTGATATTGCTTTTGGAATAATCCAACAATTCCTTCTAAAAAATAAACACTTTCGACAGATTTGCATCAAGCATTTTTTGTTTGTGATTTTAATCACTGTCAAATATCATCTATACTTGTCCCAACTATGCTACGTCCACACTGTTCCACCATTTTTTATAATAAAATTTGTTAATACATTAAATGATTAAAAAAGTAATGCTTACAAATAAAAATAATTAATATCGAATAAACCAAACAAATACATAAGTACAAGTAGAATATTTTTTACTAAAATGGCTACGATTTTTTTAACAAAATAAAATTGCACAGTTAATTAAATATATATATGAGAAAGCTTTTGAACTGAATACTTTTTCTACGTCTGAAAATTTTCTGAATATTTTTCTACGATGATCATTGTTTAGGAATTAAACTTAACAAATAACTTTACATTTAACGATGTGTTTTTATTGTATATAAACATTTTAATTTACCTAACTATATGCTACGTCGTCATTGTGCTAGTTTTTTTCAGAATAGAAATTTTAATTGAAAATTAATTTAGTAAAATTACACTATTTATTAATATTTGTCCAAAATTCATGCATCTCTTTTCTATAATCAGCCATCAAAATAAAATAATTTTTCAATCAATTTTTTTCATATTCGATTGAAAACAAAAATAACAAAAACAAGTACAACAAAAAATGAAAACAGCAATAACGATAAACACAAAACAATAACAACTAAAAAAAAAACAATAATTATAATGATAAATAGGAAATGAACTAAATCAGCAGTATAGTTCCAACCTTGGACTTGTAACTATCACTCTGGAGATGAGCTTCACAAAGATTTCATTGTAATATTCTAAATAGTAAAATATAGAATTGAATTATAATAATAAATTATTATTCGATATAACATACAACGATTTTTTCATTATTTAATGACTTTAGCTACTATAACGGCCATTAATCTTCTTTTATTTTTACAATTTATGAATTTTAAAAATGCTTTTTATAATGTGATTTAAATAAATATCTAATCAATTTTTGAATAATTAATTAGCTAAATAAAAAGAGAACAGATTATTATCATTTTATTTGTGTTATAGATTCTTTTGGGTAACTTAAGATACTGAATATTAAATTAGTCTAAAAAACCCCAGAGCTAGTTGAATCCCTTAATTTTAGATGATGTCTAGAATTTTTAGTAGAAAAATTAAATGAATTAAAAAAAAGTCATTTAATATATAGTTATAGATAATCCGTTATTTTTGAAACAAAAATAACTGTAAAAAGTAGGTTTGCAAAAATAATTTTACATTATAAATATTTTTTTTTATCCTAAGTACTACTAAATGTATTATAAACTTAAAAACATCGAATACTTTTACTTGAAAAATTAAAATGTTGGAATTTAGAGTAAATTTACATTGTGTATGAAGACTATATAAATTGCATAATTTAAGTTTATTACTTTTTTTTTAGATTTGATAAGTATTTAAAAGAGTGTTCCCTAGTATATTATAATATTATTTTATTTAAGTACTGTAAAGTTAATCAAACAGCATTCGATAAATATTAATTTGAACATTTTCAGCGTTTCTCTTAAGAAATTCCGTTTGATCCTTTATAAAACATTTCTTATATAATAAATTATTAAATATATATATATTATTATTATATATTGCTATTAAATCTAAAAATTATAAGAAAAATATTGATTTTCATTTAAATTTTTAAACAAAAAACTTGTACGAATTTATAGTATGCATATATATGTTTATTGTTATTAAAATTTCTTTTTTTATTAACAAGCTTTTTTATTCTTTTTTTCTAGAATCAAAGAACTTGCAGATCTTAGTTTGAAAAAAAAATAATAACGATAAAAAAGTAATCAAGTACGTGCTGAGTATAGTCTTAAGGGATATATTTAGCTAAACTTAAATCTGGGAACGTTTAAACTATTATATATTTTCGTGACTAGCAACATTTTCTTAAATTTTTTATCAGTTTAGCAAAAATTCTAATTGTCATCACCTCTTTATTTTTTTAATTGAGTCTCATTAATCCCAGCAAGTACATATTAATTTTATTTTAAAAATTATGTTAAAAAATTAAATCTAAATTTTTATTTTGAAAAAGTTCTTTTAACAAATAACGTTAAAATTATATATTGGAGTGAAACTTCTTGAAACAGATTTGAATATGATTATGATAATCTAAGAGTTAGTCTGTTTAAATTGGTTTTTGTAAGGTTTTAATATTATATAAAGAAAACATGTACCTCAGAGCATAACTTACGGTATAATCATTTATTAAAGTATATTTGAATTTTAAATAAATGAAGCATGATGACATTTTCTTGAAGTATAGTTTTTCTGAGTCCAAAAAAAAAATCTAATTTATAAAATGAGTCATTCAGGTATAAGTCATAACATAAATAAAAAATTTTAATATTTTTTACACGATAAAAGATTAAACAGTTAAATTTGACAGCGTGGTCATATAATATACATATTTGAGATAAAACTGTGTAAGATTTAAATTATTAAAAATTCAGTACATCCAAACTTTTTAATAGATAATTCTATTATTTAACTAATTTTAATTAACTGTTTCCATATGAATGTGGTAACCAAGTTTGTAATTAGAACAATTTTTGACTTTCGAGTGTAATCGATTATCAAATCAAACAATTACTAAATTCTTCGTTTTACATTGTTTGATTTATTAATTAATGGTATTTATAAACTTAAAACAACTTTAACTTTAAAGAATAGTACCACCTTAGTCGCATTAATATCGTCCTAGAATCTTACGTAGATAAATTATAAAATAATAATATATAGCGTTAATTTATCGTACAAGTAAAAAAAATATATATGAATGTTTGAAAGTACAATTTTGATATTATGCTCTTATTTTAATGAATATCACAATTCTAAATTATTCATTTAATGTTAAAAATAATAGTTTGTGTTTACTGTTACATACTATTATAAATCAGTAATGGGCAAAAATCCAAATTTTATCGATATAAATTTTTTTTAACCAAGAAAACTATAATACAAGTAAGTTATGTTCAAAATATTGGCATCTGTTATTCATCTTTGACGGTTATTGTTTTTTTGATTGCTACTATCGGTTGAAATATATTTAATATAAATATAAATCCATCGCAGCAGATCATCTGAATCAAAATTTCAAGTAAAACATCATTATTGGTTTAAGTTAAAATTAAAACATATTTGTTAATATGTTACATTATTGTGTAATAATGAAATTTTATTTTCAGAATTAGAGAAAATAAAATAACGTTCCATAATATTTGATTATTTTTGCTTTGCATTTACTAATATATATAAAGTGACAATTGGATTAGTTTTCAAAATTTTCATGATTTTTGTTGGAATACATCATATTTGGACCTGTCTGGGGTTCTGTGTATGGCTAGTTTCTGAATAATCTGAAATAATAGGTCTACTTGGGGTAGTGGTGCAAACAGGGAGATTAGGGAACTGTAAACCCTCCATATAAAATGGTAAAAATGTTAAATTTTTATACACTCATAATAATCAAAATTATACACTCATAATATTTAATTCAATATCTTATAGTTTTTGGTGAATATCTATTTAGTTATTTTCAAATTGCAATATTTGTTATTCACTTTTTACGTATAAGTAGTATATAATAGAGAAGTGAGAGATTGAGTTTGAGAATCAGGCAGAATGACTACTTATATAAGAATTCAAAGTTATTTCCAAATAAAATAAATGTCACCAGTACTATTGATCGTTCGAGAGATATAATATTATAATTATTGTTATTTAATACATAAAAATTTAAACAGTGTTCATTAAACAAATAAATGAAAATACGAATTTTGTGCAATTGTTGTTCAAATGAAAAGCAATGTATCTTTTAGAATTTAAAATAAGTAAATATCCAGTGCTGTATTATTTTGTTAAAAATCTGAATTAAGTGTTATAAACCAAGTAAGTATTAATTTGATCGATTCTTAAGAATAATTTTTATAAATAAATTTTGAATGATATTTTGCACGAACTTTTTTTCATACCTCGTATTTACATCTGTAAAGTAGTCGAGAAAAAGTATTTACAGAACTTTATTTATCTCTTTTTCCTTAGGTATTTTAAAAACTTTTACAAAGTATTTGATTTTAAAAACAAATATCTTTCCAAATACTATTAAAATTATAAGCTTTAATATTTTTCCTTCGCCTTTATTCAGTAAAACAAAATTGGTAAATTCAAAAGTTTACATTCTTGTATTTGATAGCAAAAATTTTATTTCCAATTGTTTTATTATTTGACTTTTTTCAGATCGGATAAAACATTATTATTAATAAGTATAGATATTTGTAGATTAAGACCAATCCATCGTTTATTGAGCACAATGAAATATTAAAATTCTGCATTTTTATCGACAACTATTTGTGATAACAAACACTATACTACCAGAAAGACTGTTTTATTGGCGAAATAATAACTATAATTTTCACACGTGTCTTCAGCATATCTAATTCTAAGAAAACATAACTGACTGTACTATTAATTTTAGATTACATTCAGCTAATGTATAAGATGTAATTTTCATAGCTTCAACTTCGCTGGCAGTCATAATAATAATAATTCTATTATTGTTTAATCATTATTATGACAGTTATAATTGTAAATATTATTTTTAAAAAGTTTTCATTTAATATTTTAATAATCATACTTTTGTTAGAATTATAATAAAAGTCAAAATGTTTTTTTAGACGGGTCTGTTTCTGTTAATCCCATGCAATGTTATTTAATTGCATGTGTATTTATTAATTTATTTACGGTAATGATATATCTTGTGTAAAATAAAATCACTTTTTTATAAGATATATTTTTAACAAATAGTATTTGCACTTTATATATTTCGGTGAAAAAGTACAGGATTTCAATTTGTCTAACTTAGTTGTGTAATGTTTGCCGTTCTCTTAAACTAAATATAATTTTAACTAGAGACAAGGCCGTATATAAGATTTTGGCGCCCACAATTTTTTTTAATTACATTTATTTAAATAACATTAAGAACAAAAAAAAAATAACATTTTCACGGGTCGATTTTTTTATTCCAGACTTTCATCGAACTTATGATGATAATCTTAAAATAAAAATTAAGAACATTAAATATATAAAAATCATAATAACCAAAATGAGAATAAAAAAATTTTTTCGACTATACGTTGACAATATTTGTAGGTTTATTTTATTAATTTCTCTTATAGTATGTGTATTTAAAATGAATGTTCAAAGAAACGTTTACAACTGTACTCATATTATTTAATTACAAATTTTGATAGTTTTATTATCTGATTTAATCTGAATTAAAATTTGAACACACCCTTTGTGTATTATTTTTTTTTTACTTAAAAATAAAATATTTAGAATAAATTGACAGCGAAATGTTTGCCTATAAATAATTAAATCGCATAAGCAATAGCCCATTGTTTAAGTACCAATTATTAAACATAATATTTCTTTTTAAGCCTAAATAATAGTTATTAGCCTATATCAAATCATACTATGTTACATGAAAGTAGTGATCAATTACCAGCTTTTTAACATTATTTATAAAGCTATAAAACGTATTATTGTTTTGGCACTAAATAATGTCATTAATGTTGCGAAACGTCAATTCTTGTTTTATTTTCTCTGACAGCTGTACAAATGTGTGTTCAGTTTATGTTTTATTAAAATAAAATATAACTATGTTTTTTACAACATGAAATAATAAAGTAATAAATAAGTACCAATGGTCGGTGTTGTACAACTGGCCCACACACTTGACTTAATAAATCAAATTGGCCGTGGCTTAATGTGTATTACTAATTTAATTGATGATGTCCCATGCATTTACCATTTTATAATAATGAAATATTAAATCGCTTACTCATAACAGAATTAAAAATGAAGAAGAACAGATATCCTTATCAATATAAATACAGGAAAACTTTTGTATAACGATCATCGAAGGGTATTGAAATAATGACCGATTTAGTTGGTTTGTAACACTTCCTTAACGGAAGATGCTCGTCTAAAAAGTGTTATAATATAACATTTTATTTAGCAGATATTATATACTAAATCATGTACTCTAAGGGGCACGCAAAAAAGGACATTTGTCGTGATTCTTTTAAGAGTCCATATACCTTTGGAAGTGGGAATTTTTTTTTTCGATTTATTTGAACGAATAATATTGCCCAATTGTAACAGACAAAAAATAAACTTCCTCTTTAAAACTCACACTTTTTCTATTATTTAATTGTAGCGGTTTATGATAATTTTTCATACATGCCATTTATGTAAAATATTACATGTTTGCAGATTTTTAGACATATGTGAGTGTGGTAATAAATCGAATGATCTAAGTTATAGAGTGCGTACATACAACAGCAAAAAACAAATATACGCGAGTATAAAATGCATTAATACATTAAAATGGTTTTCATTAAGTATAAAAATGAAATAAGTTATTAAAAAATAGCTAATTTTATTAGTTGGTTTTAAATTAATTTTATTATTTGAACTAAATAGTTGACTTTTAAACGCCACTAGTCAACTGTGTCTTTATCAACCGATTCACTCTTGTCAAAACGACTTTAAAAGAAATATTGTAACGCGATTTAAATCCAAACATTTGATACTTCAAAACTATCAACATTAAGTTCTTTACTTACTTGTAAAGTTGTTTCTTTGAGATTGGAATATTTTTAGCTCGAGCAGACAAAACCATTTATGCACAACATCGTTGACATAACTTGATTCGGTTTTACTACGTTTTACAGTTTTCATTTGATCATTACCGTGATATTTCCATAATTTAAAAACTGTATTTTTATTTTTGATTAAATCGGTGCCTTGAGTTGTTCCTATTCCATTTTTTTTTCTGATGGGAAACGTGCAATAACATTTTCTTTTTTGTAAAAATCTAATAACTAGATTTTTTCCTCTAATGTTTGATGTTTTCTTTTAGACGCCATCAAAATTACGCACTTTGAAACACTTAAAATTAACATAGTGAACTAATGAAACATGACAAAGGTCTCTGTTTGCCGTGTTGTCGTACAAATTCAATAGTATGACAATAAACTGCCGTTAATTTACCTATCTACGCACTTTTATTGTGAACGTTAATTAGAGTGCCCACTATAAAGAGGTGTTAATGTGTTTTTCCTATAACACTTGACGGCACCAAAAAATATGACTGTTACTGTACTTAGAATTGTTGAAACAATTGTTTAACAGTTTGTGTTTTCATTAAAAATTATGTTCCTTTTTTTAGAATCCTGGAGAGGTTATTTACGTTGTTTTATTTAATTATTAATACTGGCGTGGTGTTACTCAGCGTCCCGTACGATTGCCAATCCTCGGCATTGGCTTCAACGGGCTAATTCGAGAAATGACTTGGAAGGAGACTAGCCATCGGGACGGTTCGAATGCGGTGTCCAGTGAGCTTGAAAACGTATCTAAAAATATACACAAACACAGTGTGTCGATGGTTTGGGTTAAACTGTATGCGCGCCTGGTAGCTTACAGTCGCTTTTCGAAACAGCCTAATATATGCGGCGCACTGTGACGTCCTGTTGTTATTATTATTTCATTGACTGGTTTTTGTGATATTATTTTATTATGACATTAGAGTCTCGTCGACAGGATCGCACGCGTCAAATAACTAGACAACGGCAATGAACGTATTGCGTAACACCGTAACTGCAACCACGACATCAAAAGTGATAGCGACAAGTACCTCCGGTGCCGATGGAGCGGAAACGCAGCGGCCGGCGGTACTACAACAGAAGGAAAAAGACCTGGACGCAGCAGTGCAAAGATTACCTACGACAGTTCATTGCGTTCCTGTTCAGCAACATAGGGATCATATGCTTGGTAGTAGGTTACACCATAGCCGGCGCTTTCATGTTTATTTTCATCGAAGGGACGTCGAGCAATGCCAAAGCCATCATAGACCGAGTAAGCGCCAATCGGTCAGGAACCGTCGCCCGTTTATGGGATCTAACTTGCTGCACAGAGTACTGCGAGGAGACCTGGCGAAAAGAGGTGCAGACTCACCTCCGAGCGTTTCAGAGCCACGTCATCGAAGCAGTTCGCAACAGCTACGAAGGCGCCAACAAGGAAATGACCCGTTGGTCGTTCTCCGGTTCTTTCCTCTACTCGCTGTCCGTCATCACTACCATCGGTAAATAAGAACATTTATTTATAATTCAGATATTTAGACATCTAAAAATAAAATATTAAAATTATTTTAAACATATAAATTCGATCCATGTGAAATTAGAAAGTTCTATTTATGGTAATCGTTTTAACCTACTCTAGTTGGTTAAATCATTGATATATAACAAAAAAAAAAAAAAAAAACAATTAATTTATCTAACTTATATCAGTTTATTTTTAATAAGATGAGCTTTAAATATAACATTTTCAGAAATCAAAAACAAATTTATTTATTAAATGTTTATTTTTTCTACATCAGATTTTCATATCTGTTGAAATTGAAAACATTTTTCTAAATTAATAAGGGCTGATGAAATTTTCATAACACCAAAGTCGTTTGGCCGATGTAAACTCATGATCTTTTTATGAAACTATGAATAATAAAAATATATTTTTCTAAATTTTTGTTTTGAGAATTTTTTCAATCGCAGAGTTGATTATAAATAAGGTTTTTTTTTATTTAACGATATCTTAAGTCTAACACAAAAACTTAATGCCCATTAAACAAAATAATAATATATATTTAATTAAAAACTCACAGTAATTACAAAAATTAATTCAAGAAATTAACTGGAGTTATAAGAATTTAAATAAGTACATACATTAATTTCGCTCTCGTAAATTATTTATGATCATTTTACACTTGTTTAAATATCAAACCAAAAAGTTTTAACAATTTTCATTCAAAAATATTAAAATAAAAGTAACGTTACAAATAACAGTCAAATGGTTTAGATAATGTTCACCGCCTTGTCTTTTATCGTAAACGTTTGTAAAAATATTCGCTGGCAAGTCGTTCATTAACAAGTAATATTAAACATCAACTTATTAGCATAATTTATTTCGCAGTAAATTTTTAACCTTGTCTCATTCATATTTTTTTATAACGTTTAATAATTATAAAATCTTGTTTAAGTCACATACATTTAAAAATGATTTGATGCATCGACTAGTACAACACGTTCTTATGTTTTTTTTATTTAATCAAGTTGTAAATAAACCAGCTTGAATTTATTTCGTTTAAAAGTAAAACTTTGCAAAGTTTGTTTTAAATTAGTGTTAATTTAATGGATTGTCAAAACAAATTAAGAAATACAATGTTAAATATTTGTAGCACTTAACGAAATTATTCTTAGATTTTTTTTTTTCATTTTATAGTTTGTTATTTGTGTCAAATCATTTTTACATAAGTAATGTATCATTTTAATCAGCTAAAATGTGTTTCCTGTCAATAACTCTTCCCGGCATATTTTTAGAGCACTTCAGTGAATATGGATTAATTGCAATTTGTTTTGACACAAATGTGGCCAACTTTAAGTTACAGTTCCTAAAAAATTGAAAATATCCTATAAAACACGCGGCATACCTTTTGTAATATTTATAAATACACTTTGAGCGGTTGTTACAGTGTAATCCGACATCCGCGTTCCCTTCTTCCAAAATCGTTTCGATAGATACTTGGATATCTTTATGCAGCCGAGATTAAGTTTAAATTATTCTCGGGAGAATTTATAATTGACTTGTACGTGTACGTGAAAACCTTTAGCATATTAAATAAATCAAATTATAAACTGATCATTGTAATATATAAATCAATACGATTTTATTCAAAACTTAAAATTAATATTTAATCGCTTAATTGCATATTTTTGGCCACGTGTTTTTCATGTTAAATTATTTGAGTAATCGAATAACACCTTAAAAGTTTCGTTGTGTATAAATATTAGTGCACACATAAAAACTCAAAATATACTAATCAAACATTATTTAGGACTGTTTTTTTTTATATGCGACTAATTTTTAGTAAGTACTTTATCTTCATTCATTCTTGAATAACATAATTTTTGAAGTTTTATAATATTGATTAATTTTCTCTTTAAAAGACACGTGTAGGAGTCTCTGTGAATATTTGTTAGCCTTATGACTTTTACGCCAAAATTACGTAAACCATAATTAGCGTTTGGCACACCATATTTCCTGACAACTCGTCCTGAATGAAGTAACGGGTTAAAATGTACACAGAAATTGCCAACTAGAAATTAATATCACTTACAATAACAGCCAAAAACAAACGACGTGATTCTAAAATACAGTAACGCAAAAAGGATAAAACTGAAGAAATAAATATAAAAATTATATTTATTAAGAAAAATGTTCACAATAATGACATTTATGAATTTATCACCACTAATGTCATGTTTTTATACTTGTTTTGTATAGTAATTTTTACAGCCAACTTGAACATTTTCAAAAATACATAGTTTCTCTAAATCTAAACCTAAACGAGATTACGCGTACTTTGCAAAAATGCTTTAATAACAAAATTAAATTGTGTAATACAACTCTAATTTTACCATTACATTTATTTATTTGAAATCATTAAAAAATTCCATCATATTTTAATATTTTATTTGGAAATTTAATGTATAAAATTTAGCACATTTTTGGCATTAATTTGATTTTCGAGCTATTAAATATGAAAAAAATGTTTTTATTGTAACTTTGTCAAGACAGTAGAAACCAAGTTTGTCTACGTGTATTATAAAAATTGTTATTATAATAACACAGTAACATTGTATTTGTATTATAATGGTTTAATTACCATAATACGATAATCCGATACGTTTTAATTATTCAAAAAGTTCAGATACCATCTTGTACTTGAAGTTTTTTATCGTGATTTTTTTATTTGTATCGCTTGACATACTCTGAGAAAGAAAAAAAGTCTAATCTAATTGTATTTGTATAGTAAATACAAAAAATACAGCCAATTATCATGCAAAAAATTATATTTAAGAGTAAGTTTTAAAAGTATTTTAATGTTTATATCAATTTTTATGTAACTTTTATAACTTTACTAAATTGGCTACGTTTTTCTTAACAAAATAAAATTGCCAAGTTAATTAAATATATACATATGAGAAAGCTTTTGAACTTTACACTTAATTTTTTTACATTGATCATTGTTTAGTAATTTTACTTAACAAACTTTTGCATTTAACAATATGGTTATTTGTAAATGAAAATTTTACTTGACTTCACTATGCCTCACTGTACCGCGACACCACTGTGCTAGTTTTTTTTCAAACTAGAAATTTTAATTGACAATTAAATTAGTAAAATTATACAATTTACTCAATTCCGTCGAAATTTCATGCAATTCTTTTCTAAAATTAGCCATCAAAATAAAATAATTTTTCAATAAATTTTTTTCATATTCGTTTGAAAACAAAAATAGCAAAAACAAGCACAATAACAACAAAAATAAAAACATGGATAACGATAAACACAAAACAATAACAACTAAAAATTAAAAAAAAAATAACAACAAATCAATTACAATAATAAATAGGAAATGAACTAAGTCAGCAGTATAGTTCCAACCTTAACCATCGCTTAAAGTTATTTCTTAAGTTACAAATATCTTATTTATTGTAAATGAAAATTTTATACTGTTTTTGTCTGTACCACGATTTATTTAATAACTGAAAAATTATAACGTTGTACTTTTTAACTAAATATTCTATGTGTTTCTATGTAAGCTATGTAAATCGAATATTGGATATTTCTTTTTCGAAGATTTTGAAAAAGCTGATACGTATTTTAAACTCCTTTGAAATATATAAAGCACTTAAAAATTAAGGAAACCGATCATTTGTTACGGAAAATAGGAATAATACAAACCTTTACCCTTTCTTATTGAACACTTATTGTATTTTTTTTTTTCGATGTAATACATATAATTATTAGCCAGAGGTGTGGTGTGGCGCAGTGGATCAATCAGACGCCTCTTTGGAACTAACGTTCAGCTCTGCTGTTTGCTGTTAGTTTTAGGATGGGTGACCACACTGAAACTTTACCAATGGCACAAAATCTTGCCTACTTTCTGATTAACTCAGCCATAATTAGGTTTTGTCAGTTTGATAGCTGGTGTAAAATTATGTCGACTCGTTAAGTCCCCAAAAGGTGTGGATAGAAGCTATAATGCAAATGTTGATTATATAATTATTAGACTGAAAAAACATGACTGAATTAAACCAATACTGTATTAGTTACTGATCAAAGCTGAATATGTTTTTGTTTTTTTATAAACCAATAGTACATATTGAAAAAAGATTTTTAAATAAATTTCAGCTTTTGTGATCAACCCTAAAGAGTCGCCTAAGAACATTTTTCTTCCTATATGTTTTCTTCGTGGGAAAACATGACTTGTAATAAAAAATACTCTTTTTAAACAAAGTAATTTGTTTAATGTACATACATTTTTTGAAAACTTTATATTTTTAACTGTTAGGTACTAATTAAAGGACCTTGCTGCAAAATCTTGACAACTTTATTAAAAAATTCAATTTTTTTGTAGAATATTATATGGCAGCAACTACTTTATGTATAAGAACAACAAAAAGATAAGTTCAATAATTATTGGACATATAATTATCCGTGAAAAATTATAATTCTCCATTGAATTCTTGAAAAATAATAATTGATGTAATTTTTGTAAAATAAATAATTTATTAAAAACATTTCTATCAATTATATTTTAATAAAAAATAATTAGTTTAATCATTTAAAATAGTTTATATATTAACAACAAATAGCAAAATCAACGAAAGAGCTCAACATTTTTGTATAATCACTATTAATTTGGATAAACACTACATACAACCAAAAAATAAAAATTCTCATATTCAATAAAATTTTGTACTTAATGGATTTAAAAAATAGTTTTAATTGAAATTTTATCTCAATTAGCTTTTAATTAAAAAAAAAAATATATATATATATTAAAGTCGATTTTTGTTATGGAATTACCCATATATATATATATATATATATATGTATCATTAGGTAGTTTAATTTTCATTTTCGTCTGAACGTGTATAATTTATTCAATAGATATTTGTTGTTAAAGAGATTATGTTAAATGTTTGCGTGATGACTTTATGTATATCATGTAATTAATCG